GCAGGCACAAAGGGTTTGCACCAGGTCTGGGGACACAGGGGACACCGTCTTAAAGGGGCCGTGTCCCCAACAAGTCTGGGGACACTGCCTTAAAGGGGCAGTGTCCCAATCTTCCTGATGTCCCAAAAAAGGTGTTTAAAGGGCCAGCACCAGTCACATAAAGAGTCCATAAGCCCCAATATGCCCACCGACAGTCTTAAAGGGCCATACACACCAAATAAAAGTGCATACATTTTCACAATCTCCCAGGGGCCATAGTCATGCGGGAGGAGGCTGGCAAAGAGGCTTCTCACAACCCAGGGAAACAGGGCAATTTGCCATTTAAAGGGCCCGTTACAAATAGCAGTTTGTAACAAGGTGTCAATCCATATCTGCCAAGTGACCCGATGTAGGGGACCAGTCCCTATTCTGCTCTGTGTCAGTGTGTATCAGGGAACCTTAGGACAGGTGTCAATCCATATCTGCCAAGTGACCCGATGTAGGGGGAACAGTCCCTATTCTGCTCTGTGTCAGTGTGTATCAGGGATCCTTAGGACAGGTGTCAATCCATATCTGCCAAGTGACCCTATGTAGGGGAGCAGTCTCTATTCTGCTCTGTGTCCGTGTGCATCAGGGGCTCTGAGGACAGGTGTCAATCCATATGTCAAGGTGTCAATATGTCATATGTCAGGTGTCAATCCATATTGATTGTGATTTAGGAATGTTAGGTGATTTCTGCCCTTTATGGATTAAAACCAGACTCTGTATCAACTGTGTAATTTTCCATGGGAGTTTTGCCATGGATCCCCCTCCGGCATGCCACAGTCCAGGTGTTAGTCCCCTTGAAACAACTTTTCCATCCCTATTGTGGCCAGAAAGAGTCCCTGTGTGTTTTAAAATTCGCCTCCCCATTGAAGTCAATGGCGTTTCGGGCGGTTCGCCGGTTCGCGAACATTTGCGGAAGTTCGGGTTCGCGACATCACTAGTCACAATGTTTAGCACCTATGTTCAGCGTCTCCGCTGAACACTCCCCATAGAGGTGCACTGATTCAATACACCTCTATGAGGAGATGCTAATTGGTGTAGCGCTCTGTTTTATGTTAAAGCATTGGATTGGCTGAGATAATAAAAATTGATTCTCTCAGTCTTGGAAGCAGGGCCAGCTACAGTAGTGTAGAAAAGGTGATTTAACACACTTCAACTACACAAAGAGGGGGGCTGGTCACCTAAACATTTCCTATAGTGTTAGAAATACAGGTTTCAGAACAACAAAATTAAATTATGTATTGTACTTAGGATCTGTATACTCATGGTATCGCCTGTGTTTTGTTTTTTTTCCTTTAAATGTTTCATTACTGATTTTACAACCTTCAACTACATGGGATGTCAACACATGGCAATAATACATTGTCATGTTTGGCTTTGTCAAAATCAAAAATATTTGGGGGGTGAGGAATATATATATACACACACGCAATTGCTCTCTTATCTGTATGCAGAGAAACAGCTTGTCATTGTTTCCTTGACTGTGTACTTTGCTCTTTTTCTTGCAAAAGTCATGAGCGTGCAGATAGTTTTCATGTATGCCTAGTGCTAGCACATGTGAGATGGGTGACGTAGTGGATGGGTGAGAGATGGATAAAATATTGGGGGAGGGGGTTGGCTAAAGTTACCAAGCTGATAGGCGTGTCAGAAAATACAAGCTGACCAAGTTTATAGTACATTTATAACTAGTTAGTACTTACTTTTCAAGGTTTTCTTGCTTTAGTTTATATTTGCTGGTTTACAATAAAAATTGATGCATGTCTACTTAACTTATTCCCCTATGTTTGTGCCAGTCTGAAAATAAATAAAATGTACATACATAGGCATGCGCACGGGGTGTGCCGGGTGTGCTTGGGCACACCCTAATCCCTGCGGCACACCTATGGAGTGAGACCGGCAGGGGAGATCTCAGGATCCCCCCTGTCGGCTCATGTAGAGCCGACGCTATCCGAGCGCCGGCTCTGCATGTAAAAGAAACCAAGAGGGCTGCACTCACCTGAGCATGCATACATTATAGGGTGCTGCTGGGGCCAAAATATACAAAATACAGAATCCAGAATACTCCTTGGTTTTGCACCCCTCCCTGTTACAGGTGCCTCATTCCAGGACCCTATTTAGCCTTGACTTGCAGAGAGGCTATATATAGCCTTTTGTGTGACTTGCCATCTGGTAACGCAATAGTAATTTAATTGGCCATTCTCAGTTATTGCCCCCCTCCCCCCACTAGTACATGTGCATTGATTTAATATTTCATGATGAACATTTTTTGTGTGCCTTTTGGTGCATTACTCAACACTCTTAAAGGTATATCAAGTATTTATAATAGCTTTTTCTTATAAGTATGCCCTTAGAGTATTGTAGTACTTATGCTGCATGGAACAGTCAGTCCTTTAACTCTCAGCAGCTTAGCATACTCATTTCAGACCCAATTTTATAACAATCAAATACTTGGAATACTCAAACTACCACACGCTGGTACTATATTATCATGTTTCAGTTTGGCACTAAAAGGTAAGGCGCCTGCAAATTTACACATGTGCATGTATATGTACACATAGGCGTGCACAGCCTATTGCATTAGGGTGTGCACCCTAAAGCACAAGATATAGATATAGATATAGATAGATAGATAGATAGATAGATAGAGAGAGAGAGAGAGAGAGAGAGAGAGAGAGACTGACTAATTTGCCCCCACCTCCACAACATAAACCAGTAACCCCTCTCACAATTACAGGCTATGCCTTCATTGTTGCAGTCAGGGACATAAGCCGTAACAGTAAGATAATATAATAATAATTAGAAGTAAGCACAAAGCGGTTGTGGTGTGCCGGAACCGATGTATGGGGTACGCCTGTAATAAAAAAAAAAAAAGAGGGCAAAAATGTATGTATAAAAATAACCTTTATTACATACATGTTACAAAGCTAAACCTTTAAATGCTAATCTCAATTCCTGTTCTGGTTGTGGAATATAACTGGTTTATGCTGCTGATTTCCAGCATCCAAGTCTTTTAATTATATGAGCAGGGACATTGTGGCTGAAGCAGCACCAATTCTGAATAAGTGGCCAGAAAAAGCCAAGGGGTCAAAATCGAGGCTAATGAAAAGAGTTCTGATGTAGGATATGAACTTCGTAGTGGTCAGTTTTGCCATGTAACAGAAGTAATGGCGTATAAGGGTTAAGATCCTAACTGGTTTGTTTTGGTGTGATTGATGGAAAGTACGTAATGGTCAGTATCTTTTTGTAGGCTCATAATTTTCAAGTGCAGGTGGTTAGACATGATGTTATTGGTAGTAGTGAATTCACTTGAGAGTCTGAGTAGGGTGAAAGAAATCTAAGCCACATGTGTAGGTCTGCCTTAGAGTGTGCGTCTAGGGTTACGGTGCTTTTGTCAGTATTGAGAAGCTGAAGAAGGCACAGCAATCTAGAAATAAAGTCCCGGCCCTGTGGAATAATTCTCATGGCGAAGTTAAGCGCGTCCAGTAAGGATTGTAGGTCCATTCCGGTACACGTGCCCTTAGCCAGAAAACCTTCCACCGACTATCTGATAAGCTGTACCTTCACCATAGGTAAGCTGGCTTGTAACGAGAATGTGTCTAGGTGGATTCCCAGGTAATTCAGATTAGTTTTAGGGCCTACAGTTTTCTCTTGCGACAGTTGAACCCCTATTATGGAGAATAAAGCCAATGTTTTATGAATGCTAATGGGAGTGGACTGAGGTAATTCTATAGTGAAAAAGTTGTCTAGATAACGTAACACTGAGGGGCATTCGGCAATGTTGAGGAGCAGCCAGCATAACGTGTCAGCAAATATTTCAAACTATTTTTTTGGGCCCCAAAAGTTAAACGAGTTGCGAAGTAGTACTTATGTTTCCACAGAATGCATTGAAAACGTTAGTTTTCCCTGACCAAGCTCCTGCCCAGCCCTCAGAATGACATGAATAGCATCATCAACTGTGGTGTATTGTAGGAAGAACTCTTCAGAGGGAATTAATGAGTTGATGCCAGGGGTAGACAAAGAATGTCGAGTCGATAAAAATAAATAAAGGCTAATTTACTATTTATTGTTGAACTTCCCAGTGGCTATACCTATGGGATTGGTACGGCAGCTTGAAAGGGGGGATTTAGAGAAAGGACCTAATATGAACCTGTTGTTCAACGCTTTCATTAGTAGCATCTCTGTGCTGACAGGGTCAAGAAGGGCAGACTGTATGTTAGGACATTCGTGACTACCAGTGGGGAGTGTAACCAGGCCAATCGGTGAACCCATTAACCAAGAAGTCGACTAGGTGATGAGAAGGGTGTGCCTGCAGGTAATACACCAGATTGTTGATGCTAACTTCAGTTAATCATTGTTTCTGGTACAGATGGTTAAGAGTTTTTGTGTGCCCTGAAATAAATTGAGCAGACGTGCAACAATCTGCAAGAGCTAAATCCACAACTGCCAGAATTAAAGTTGTTGCAGATTTGAACTTTCCCTAGATATACTATGGGTCTACCCAATTTGTGAAGAACCAGACGAAGCACGACTAGTGGTAGGAAGGCTAACATCAATTGGGCACAAGTTGGTGGAGAGTGAGATGGAGGCACACAACGGTTTTTGACCAGCAAAATGGCCACAGAATAATTCTGTATCAAGCCTACTACAGTTGGTGTGGGTATTAAATTGGGTGAGGGATGCCGCTGCTTTAGCTGAAAAAGATTTATGAAAGTCATAAAACGAGAAATCACCAACTTGTGCATGTATAAATCCAGCTCTTCCCAATGGTGAGGAGAAGTGGAGACGATTAAGTCACATTAAAGCCCAAAAGCAAGGGCAAATTCAGGTATGGTAAGTTTTCAGTTGTGTCTGGGGTCTCTGGCTTTCAAAACAAACGATTACCATTGCAGTATGCTTTGTTCTCAACCACATCCTGAGAGGCTATAAGTAATGAGACCGAGTTTATGTCCTTGCCTTCCAGGATATCTTTGCTAATGGTCAGGGGCACAAAGTGGACAGGCATGATGATGTGAGTGGAAGTGCTAGGTATTGGGTGGTGTCGTTACCGTAAGAGGGAGCTGGAGTAGGAATCTCTATGGGTGGGACTGCTGTCAATGGTTGAGGGGATTCCAGTTTCTCAAGACTAACACTGATAGTGCTAATGGAAGCAAGAAGGGACGACATTAAACCCTTGATTTCCGTATAGTGGTTGGTTGGAGGGACTACACCCGGCTGGGGAGTACAGGTGTTGGTGATAAATAGTCTATACAATTCAGCTTTGCGAGCTGTAGCAGGGAATGGAACCCCCATGCGTCGTAATTCAGTCGCAAGCCTGGTGATAGCCCAGGAACATAGGGAATACAGGCTGGATGCTTCCAGATTCTCAGAAGGGGTGCTTGGATCGGCCGGGGCCTCTGGTAAAGTGAGATCCTCCTCTTATTCTGGAACTTGCGATATACTAATAATAGAGACATGGGTTAGGAGGACTTTGGTTATGAACGAGTGCCTGTGTCAACAGGCTCTAGCTAAGCCCAAGGTGAAAAATTATCTGGCCTACCATGATGATGAAGCCCTGCTAGTGCCAAGTGGCAAGAGAGGCTCTAACTATGAGGAGGGCCGAGTGGGCTGGGGGCCACAAATGCTGTCATAGGGACGTTGGCCTCTCGGTGACAGTAAGAAGACCAAATATATAGGGCCGTGACATGGTGAGGCCCTGACTAATAACAGACTATGGTGAGGCTCTAACTATGCGTTGGGCCGAGGGGCGTATAGCTTTGATGAGGATTAGTGTTAGCCTCACAGGAGTAGATTACTTTATAACAAGACTAGGGACAAAAATGCAAGTAACAGACAGCAAGTTGACCAAACCCCTAAAATATAGCAGGATAGGAGTAGACTAAGATTGAGACCTACCTAGCCTGATGAAATAGAAAAATTCTGTTCAGACAAGGATAAATGCTTGAGAACCTAAAAAGGAAATGTGTAAGGTTAGGTTGAATTTGGACCTAATTCTAGCCCCTTATTGTGAGTAAAACTTACCTGTGGAATGATGACCGTGATTCAGAGGGAGTTACTAGTAGTAGTTATCTAAGGATAAAACTATAGTTATCCTCTATCAATATAGCAAGTATGGAAAGGCAAAATATCGTAACACTAGATATACCTGGAACGTGAGTAGAGCAATAATCCAATGAATTTCCCAATATTCTGGGAAGGGAGTAGTAACAATATCAATAACCTAAAATAGAGTATGGACAAGTGTAATAAACATGTGGTAGCTCCCAAGTGTGATGTGTGAAGGAAATAACCGCAAGGAATATCCCTGGGTGTGCTATAAATAATACCCCAGATATCCAGTTTACTTGGTGCTTGTCGCAGAATAGGGGAAGGGGTGGCAGGGCTCACTATGTTTAGGAGTGTGGCTGTTGATAGCCATCGAAGTAACATTCTACATAATCATGCTACTGGAAAAAAAGCAGGCATATTTAACCAGAAAGCTTTCAGTATGTGTGGCTTAATTTTTCATGTGTGGCTTACAGTGAGTCAAGTGGGTCACTAAATATGGTCCCAGGCTGACACTCTGAAGTACTGGCTACCAGTAGATAACTGGATCATTCCAGCATTAGTGTGGGAAAATGTTGCTAAATTGCTAGAATATTTAGGGCAGTATAGGCGGTATCAGGCAACATAATCTAAATAAAGTTATGGTGCCAGGTGGTTCCAGGGTGCACTCTTCCCTTCACGGGTTAAACTGTTCTCAAACGTTTTAATCCCAAAGTTGCCTCCAGCACCGATCTCAACTCCTCTAGTCGGCATCAAGCTTCTGAAATTTTAGTTTTGCCGCTGGGCAGGGACGCCGCTGATTGGTTAAGAGCAGTCTGCTAATGATCTTAGCCAATCAGTGGCTCCCCATTCACAGACCTGGTTTGGTAAAGGTACATGATAGTTTTGTGAATGGAGCGTCACTGATTGGCTGAAATCATCATCTAACCACTCTCAAACAGCCGGATGCAGCCGCCGAAAGGGGGAGTTGAGATTCGCACTAGACCGGCCTTTGGGGTTAAAACATTTAAGAACTGTTTAACCCCTGAAGGTAAGAGTGCATCAGGGGGCCCCCGAGCACCATCACAACTTCATTTAGATAAAGTTTTTTTGGCACGTTGAGTGCCCCTTTAAATGAAGTCAATGGCGTAGGACACTAGAGGAGACTCACTGTTAAATGTATTCTTTGCCAACTTCAACCTAGATCTGTTAGCACTGATAAAAGCTTTGTACTAGTGTCTTAAATCAGTCCTTCTGATCAATCTACTGTAGAACAATATAGGAAACCATTTACATTTAACTTGTCTTGAACATTTTGAACCATAACATTCTAAAAATAGAGAAAGAAGAGATCTAGCCTTTGAAGGAACAAAGACAGTTTAATCCATATTTCATAATTTAGTACTGTTGATTTTTTCCAAAGACACTGCTGATAGCAAAATAGTTTGAGCATTACATTTTATATACAACATTTAAGAGGATCACTAGTAATCAAGGGACAGTTCAATTATTACAGCACCTCATGAAAGACACTGGTTTATGATACCTGCCACATTTTAGCACTAAGCTTCAGCAAATGACCCCTGGAAAAATGAAGAAATTTAAATATAGACCGCAATAGGGGAAGAAAAGCAAAAGCTTACCAATTTGCAAATGTCCTGAAAATATAATAAACTGCAAGAGTGGCCAAAGCAAATCAATTTAAGTGAACAGGAAACTGGTAATTTGGTGAAATTGATAACCATAGGACACATTTATAAAAGTGTAGCACATAGAAATACAGGAGTTGATCATTTCTAGAAAGAATGCAAACCACTATGGAAACCAGAGGAATGTTCCCATTAAGTCCCATTGGTTTACACGGTGGTCCAAATTTTTTCATTACTTTTCAATTCAGAACATTTTTTTAAATTTCTTTCCACGGATTACCATTTTGAGTATGAGAGAAGGGGGGGGGGGGAATGCTTTGTGCAGTTAGATTAACATGTTAAGGTTGTTAACTAATCTTCATACTACAGATACTTCACACATGTATATATCAATGGGTTGTTTCTATAAGCGAAATGTCATTGCAGATTAATTTGTCTACTAATGCTGTAGTTTATTTGCCCGAGTGACCAATCACACATCAAATTCAAATCACACACCTGTGTGAAAAGCCTCAGCTTACTCAATGTTAAGTCAGAGTTTAATGAATAAGTTGATTTTTATTGTGAAATCGAAACTTTAAACCTTGATTTGTAACACTAATTAAAGCAATACTGTAGCATTAGGAATATAAATGTATATACCTAATTCTATAGTGCCCTGATTGCCATTTAGTTGAAAAGCCACCACCTGCTAGAAGGAGGTAGGAGGTAAATTACTTTTACTTACCTATTTTTCCAGGCAGTACTAGTCTTTGTCGTTGGTCTCCCCTCCTTGGCTGAGATAATCAAGATTGATTATCTCAAACCTATAAAATGCTATCCCAAAGATAAGCATTGGAAGGCTAGTGAATATGCATTTTTGTCTACTTCCATTAGTCTACTTCTAGTTTGCGGTCACTCACCACAACCCAGTTAGTGAATATTTATTTAAAAAATCTCTTGAAGGCAGTCATGTTGATACTTATTTGTAACATGATCTATTAATGAACAGGGTTATTTACTAAAATGAATTTAAAGTGAAATCAAAATAAACTTCAAAATTTAAGGCCAAAAACAACAGAACTGAAAGCATAGCTGATTGGGAGAATTTTTACAATTCAGTTTTTTGGCCATAAATTTTGAAGTTTATTTTGATTTCACTTTAAATTCACTTTAGTAAATAACCCTGTTCATTAATAAATTCACTTTGAAATTCCTGATAATTAACACCTTACTAAAGGGTCTGTAAATATGCACAACTGTTGCATCCACAGCTGTGCATGAGAACGGTGGAAAAAGAGACTACATACTGTACATCAAAAGCATGGAGTGGAGAGACTTGAAATGAGGAAACTAATTGTTTCATTATACAGCTAATCAAAAATCATGGAAGTTGAGCAATGGCTGTTGGAGGTATAAAAGCTATTCTATCTTGTTTATTATATTTGTTTCTGTAGCTACTGCATATGAAATAAATTGAAGCAGCAACTCCTAAATATAAGCATTACAGGACTATATTTAGGAAGGCAGAGCCTGTAAAATGGCTGAGTGTTGCTTTCTACAGGACCAAGAAACCAATGCCTATATATTCTGAAGCAGGCATGACAAAAATGCATCTCTCCAAGATACTGTATAAATACATTTCCCACAATGCTTTGCCAGCTTCTGTAATTTTACAACAGTATGCCTCTCTACCCTTCAACCACACCTGTTCTTCAAGGTGCTTGGAATAACCCACACTGCATATTTGTCCAGCACTGGTATTCAATATCCTAAAAAGTATTTCTGGATATGTTCATTACTAATGCATACTATGTGTGGAGTGAACATAGGCCCTTTTTATTTACTGATTTGATAGAAACGTCCTGCACTGCTTTTTAATATTTATTGATGTAATTTCAACATCACAGAGGAATTGCTTGGTGCCAGTGTTCTATTTATCTGCTATGTTAAAATTCAGCTTGGAATCCCAGATATTGAAGCACTCCAAAGTAGTGGTAGACTGAACGCAGTATAGGTCTATGGAGAAACTAAATCCCAACTAAACTTTAAAACTTGCGCAGCTTCCTGAAACATTTCAGATATAGTTTGTTGTAAACATAAAAAGGCTGAACCTAAGCCGTTAAAGGATCAGTCTAACTGTACATAAAGTGGTCTCTACGACAACATTTTTTTATGTACTCTTTACAAAGCATGCAGTCAATATTCAAGGAGGGATGTTGATCATTCGCCACCGTTTCAACTTGCATACAAAGAAGGGGGTTTAAAAAAAATAAAAAATTATACAAATATACACACACACCACATTTATACAAACCTGCACAAGCCTATGGTATTCTGGAATGCTCTCAGGGCCTAGATTAAATCTAGCTACACTTGTAGAGTGTACATAGATTTACATGGAATAAAAAAATACACACAATTACAGCGGATATATGAAAGTGCCAACAAATAATGAAACATACTTCACTGGAAAATAATGACCATCCCATATAACTAAAAATGCAACAGCTGCTGCTCGGAACTTAAAAACACATGCAGACCCTACACTTCCCAGAAACATGATTTTGTTTAAAGATCATAAGAAACAGGAAAGAAGGACAATAAATGTATACGTATGTTTTCTTTTTCACTTATAAATTGTGCGCAAGTTTAAAAAGACACCCCCTCCCATGTGCTTTTTAATGCAAGACAAACATGTGGACACAAGGAGCTTGATATGAGAATCAAGGAAGATCTATCACTCGTTTGAAGACAATTAAAAGTGAGCACTTCCCTTGAAAGGCTAGATATGTATTTTTTGTGTAAATGATGACATCTCATGTTACATATTCTGCATCAAAGACGTTTTATGGCTGGTAACAGGGTTGTTTAAAAAAAACATACGATCTTCAACATCAGGTTACAAACAAACAATGAAAAGGAGTAACATTGTAACAGTCCCCCTGCCCGACCCCAACATAAAAATCTGTAGCTCTCTGGAAGACCACCAAGTACATGCTTCGCTTAGACACAAGAAAATGCATTGAACTTATATAACTTGTATAACTCACTAGCAAGCTTGATGGGCACTAGATGAGCATTCAATGTTTTTACTGAAACTCGTCATTAGATTTGTCAAGATTACCAGTTCTAAATAGCAGTTTAGTAAATGGAATGCCATCTAAGAAATTAAATAGTACGTCCCTGTTTTCATGGCAATGGATTCACATTACCAAATAATTGTGTATAATTTAAATGCCTTGCCCTAATGTGCAAGTAGATTTCGATCTTACTGGAAAGTTTGTAGTACCATCAAGAGGTGTGTGCAATTACAGTTAGAGCTACTGATGGTCACTGATTGTGTAGTTTAGTACATATTTCTAACTCTAGTGTATGTAACCACACTTTTACCATAAAATACCAACTGTCCATTGCAGAAGTTTAGTTACTTTAAATGGGGAAAGTTTTTAGGCAATTTAAGAAGCAGAAGAAAAACAAATAGCAAATGGTATTCAATTATGATAGCTACATATAAACACTCACATTTAAGTGTTAGAATTCTAAGACTGCACAGTTTCAAGGGGCAAGAGGTCCTAATAAACTATTATAAATCAACATGCTGGACTGAGACGTCACTATCAAGTAACATATTAGAAGCCATTTAATATAGGCACATTACATGACATGTGATCAATCATCCTCACCAGCTTATTGCCATGACAGCTCATGATGTATGAACAGGTTGATATCAAACCACTAGCATGGAGTTAATATGAAAAGTTCCTCTATTTTATACTTTGCATTAAATAGGTTACTAGGTACTTTAATAATGCATTCTCTCTTGCAAATATTTCTATCAATGTTTATGTGGTCCTTTGGCTGGGAAAAAAAAACAACAACAAAAAACAACACACCTTAGGAAGCATTACGTATGAATGACTGAAATCAGACAAAACTGACTTCACAATGCTGACGTAAAATGAAAGTAAGGTGTCCATTAGTATAGTAGTCTGTGTTTAGCTTTTAATAGAGGTGACCAGCTCAAAGCGTCAAGCAATCTAAAAGGTAACCGATGCCAAACTCAATACTACAGAACACTAGACTTTTCTATATAATTCACCATATGATAGTTATGTGCAAAATAACATCATGCAGAATCCGTGCATGAAAGAGGACACAGAAATAAAGAAGGCACAACAGATTTTTAAAAGATGGGGAATCCAACATATTCATATTCTGCCACTAATAATACGCAGCCTGTACAGAGCTGAGTGCAAGAAAAGTTATGCTAGACATCTTTGTTTTGTAGTGTGTATTAGAACTCCGCATTTGCTTTCAAACATCTGCATCAAAAAGTCCAGCATAAAAAATAAAAAAAAAATGCAGAACTTTTAGTCCAAAAATATATTACACCAAACATCATGCTTCATTACTCGAAGTTTGATTAGATTTTACAAGAAAAGTCTGTTTGGATTAAAGTAACCACTTAACTAGCAACAAAGATGTACTGAATTTTAACCAGATTTAGATGGAAAGAAGCTATTCGAAGAGGATGGCAAAGTCTTGAACCACAAGAGCGTAATCTAAAAGAAATGCATATAACTAAACAATTGTTAGAACAAGGTTCGAGGACCTAAAAGCAGAATCTCTATTTGTATGTGTGCACGGGCAAAGAAGAAAGGTCTCAATACTGATATCTTCACACATTTTCATTGCACCTATGGTTGTGATAGCCAAAAGGAAAAGTGGGTTATTTATAAAATTGAACTACTGGGCAAAGTACTGTGTGTGCAATCAATATTACCATTCTGTTTCCATACTAACCTCTTAATTTGTTTGAACTTTGACCTTCAACTGCTCTTTATACATTATTCCCAATAATATGATCCTAATCTCTGAGTTTCTCAAAACTCTACTAAAGTACAACATATATATTACACTGGAAGAATCAAACGTTTTGGTCTTTGTTCATGGGAATGTCAAGATCCATTGGACAAGGAACAAAAGCAGATTCCTCCAGAAAATAACTTCAGGTCCAAATGGATTTGTATATTGAGCATGTTCATGGCACTCTGGTTCCGAACAGATGTACTGCCTCTTTTTTATGTATATTTTGTATATACATATAGTAGTTTTTGTTCTTTATTTTGGCTTGATTAATTCCACTCAATGTTACTGTACAGGAAATCAAAGAAAATTGGACAAGGAAAAATAAAACTGCATGAGATGGAGAATTTAAGCAGCCATTACAGATATATATATATAGATATATATATAGATATATATATAGATATATATATATAGATATATTAATTAAATTAAAAAATAGAATTTACATTGAAAAGACACCATCCCAAGATAGCAGTTTTATACCTGAACCATATTAGCAATCTAACAAAATCATATTGCAAAAAAGGTAATGGCAAAAGATAAAATTTAAAAGGATTAAAACAACATTTACAAAAAACATGTTTAAACTTCGTAAAACCACAAAGTATGATTACAATTTGTTTCCATTAAGGAACGAATGTATGACAGACATTTGTTGATGATGTTATATGAATATACAATTCTGTCCCATAGCCGAAGAGTTTTTCCTTTATTCTGTTTGTCTAATTGTTGGATTATTAAAGGCGGTAAGCCTACAAGATGCTGTACACAAAATAGCCATGTTGGGCCAATGCTACCAATGATATGGTAGGTAAACAACTTTCTGGCCAGGAAGAAAAAGAAAAGAAAAAGGTGGGGGGGAAGTGGGAGGTGAGCACTTCATGCTTTAATTTACAAGATGAACTTCCCTAAAAAGAAACCGATGAAAATAGCAGCAATAACGACAACAAGTGATGGAATAGGGTTGCCTTGTTCTCTTAGCATTGCTTTGGATGACTTCTCTGTAACGGCCTTCCTCATCCGAAGGCTTTCATCCTTGAAAACAGGAAAAAAGAAAAAAAAAGTGGGTTTTACTGAACAACAAAGAAATAAAATACATATTAAAATACAACTCAGTGAATAGTGCGCATGTATATGCAAACAGGATTTTGTCATCTTTATCATTAGCAATAACGGAGTTATATATTATAGGACGAAAAAAAAAAAAAAGATCTCTCTCTCATATATACACACACACACACATATATATATATATATATATATATACACACACACACACACACACACATATACACAATTTATTTAGTAGTGTCCCTCACACAAAAATAACACCTATTTTGAATACTGTAAAGTAAGACATTTATGATTAGCAATCCACTCTTCCTTTATGTCTCCAGCTAGAAGCTTCATCAAGAATAACATTTTACAAGATGCCTACCACAAATTAAGCATAGCAAAGCTAGAGAACTTACACTATACAAATAGAAATTATAGTTAAAATTTAACTAATTGCCTAGGGCTCATTCAAGACTCCATAACAAACACTGGTCTGAGGAAAGTGCCACAAAATAAACTGAAAATTTGTATTGGAAAGTCAGACCTGTATAAGTACTGCCTCTGAATTGTATGACTTAATCATTCAGGACTTAATCATCAGTTCTTTAGCACGTCTTAAAATTAGGTAAATACAACCTTAGATGAAAGACAGCACATGACCGATTACATCAGGTCATGATTTATTTAACAAAAATAAAGCCAAAATGGAGAAGCCATGTGTGGAAAAACTTAATTATACCTCATAATTCAATAGCTTGTAGTACCACCTTTAGCAGCAATAACTTGAAGTAATCATTTTCTGTATGTTTTATTAGTCTCTTACATCGTTGTGGAGGAATTTTGGCCCACATACAACGTTGCTTCAGTTCATTGAGGTTTGCTGGCAATTGTTTATGTGCAGCTCTCTTAAGTTCCTTCCATAGCATTTCAATTGGGTTGAGATCTGGACTTTGACTGGGCCATTGCAAAACTATGATACTTTCTTTTACAGCCATTCAGATGTAGAGTTGGTGGTGTGCTTGCAAGAATTGTCCTGTTGCATGACCCAATTTTGGACAAGCTTGAGTTGTCAGACAGATGGCCTCACATGTGACATGTGAGGAGTTCATGCTTGACTCAATGACTAAGGTTCCCAGGTCCTGTGGCTGCAAAACAAGCCAAACTTATCACCTCTCCAAAAGGCTTGACAGTTGGTATGAGATGTTTGCATGGATATCTCCAAAGGACATTGTTCCAGAAGTCTTGTGGTTTGTTCAGATGCAACTTTGCAAACCTAAGCAGTGCTATGTTCTTTTTTGAGGGAAGAGGCTTCTGCCTCTTTGCTAATGATCAGTTCAAGAGCATTTGATTAGCTGCATCTGACTGCTACTCAGCCTCTTAATTCCTATGCAAGCAGTAAGTTTGTACTTCGTTTTACATTTATGGCTTCTCCATTTTGGCTTAATTTTTGTGAGATAAATAACACATGACATATTAAACCATGTCATGATTTATTTAAGGTTGTATTTATCTAATTGTAAGACCTGCTGAGGTTCAGATGATTGTTATTATGCCCCGATATGTAAAACCATAGAATTCAAAGAGGGTGTATTTTCTTTTTCCCATGACTCTTAATGTACACATCCGTACATACACACAGAAATAAAATAAGTCACAAGAATGATGTCTTACTTTCAGAACTTGATTTTCCTCCGATAGTTTCATTATCTCAGACTGATATCTCTTACACTCCTCCAATAGCTTTCGTGTTTCAGTGTCATCCATAGAAGCACTGCCACCTTTTGGTCCAGGCAGACTAGAAAACATTTTGTTGGAGTCATGTACCTGTAAAAAAAAAAAAGTCAGGATTTATGCTAAGCAAACAAGTGGCAAAGAAAATACACACTAGATACACATACTATAACAGAGACTCAGAATATCTGTCTATATTTATTGATGAATTATTGTGTGCTTCTGTAAGAAAATAACATTACTTACTTTTCACTCACGAAGAAGCTCAAACTTAAACTTTGTATTTAGATCTTAATCATGTTCTGGTATTTGAAACACATGTATGGCTGCAAATAGGTAACAAAACAGTCACTAACTGTATTTCACCATATTTGAGAAATACAGGGTTTCTCAATGTGGACATGATCCTCTTCTGAAAACAAAGACTAATATTGCTACACTTTCCATTAAAGCATAATAAAAACAATGTATAAGCATGCATCAGTGCCTTCTTTCAAATCATGTACCCATACGTCTCAAGGCTGTCTGTTAATCTTAATTTCCATTTTCGTTAACATCTGCTGAGTACCAGACAATATTTAGAAAATGCTCAAGATGTGGTTAATAATATATGCTTCTATTTGCCATTAAGATAAACTTACCGGTTTCTCATGTTCATGTGGCATATCAAACACGCATCTTAACTTTGAATCCATGAGATCATCCGGTTTTGCTTCTTTCCACTGCAGTAGGAAAATCAGAAGTTTAGAGGAACCACTTTTTATCTGCTACAAATCTATAAAGATTTAAAACAAACAAAAACTGCATTACGAACTAACGAAAAGAGGCAATAATTAAAAATTCTTTGTATCCTTGCAGGCCATGTAACTGTCATGAAAAGTATGTCCTAGAAATGGATTTAACGGTTGAACCAAAAACAAATTGCTGGAACCACTTGAAGTGCAAATGAGTCATGTTCAAGGACCAAAATAAATAGAGTGATTTTAGTTAACCCCAATCCCAATTACCACTTCCGCTTTTAGATGTGGTCATTGTGATAAGAGGGGTTGTATGTGCAGCATGAAACACTGCACATATAGAGATATTGGCCCTTTTGTGCAGGATGCATCCTTGGCACACATGACTTGGGCAGCCTAGGCTTCTGAGCCTGTAAAGGAAAGCATGATCTCCCCTCCATCTATGTGCTCCCTTAGACACAGCCCTTCTGTTAATAGGATGTGTTTATTTTTATTTTAAACATCCCTTTCCCTCCCTTGCCCAGCCCCCACTGCTTCCTCTCACATGCATTGCGATCTGGTAAAACGGTATAATCAAATGCTTCTCTTTTTTAAACATTCGACAGGACCATGGGAGAGATGCTATGACTACAGACAGAGCGTGGAAACAAAAAAAGCGTACAGTTAAAAAAGACATCTTGTTAAATGTGCAAAGACTGGCATTTTGGTAGTAAAGAATGTTTAACGGTTTACGACTTTTGAGTGTGTGTGTGTGGATGAGTGAGTGTGTGTATATTGCTTTTTGGTCATTTATATTACATTAACCCAGTGGGAATTGTACTATTGAAGAAATGTCTGAATGCACGCAAACTTCTATAGATGCTCTGTTTTGCAGATGTTCAATCAGCCTAGGCATCGTTTGGTGGGGACGTTCCCCCGAATAGAGAATGGCAGCAGAAGTTTTTATTTTACCTTCAGTCTGTTGCACTATGCTTCAATAGGATTTACTGGGGTGAGATAAGATACGATCACGTCCACTTCAAACAAAGAAACCAAAACTTTTTTTTTTTTTACATGGAATTAAAGATTACAAGGTGATGGAGAGTCTTAAACACAAACTGACAGCCATTTTGTCAAATAGTTTAAAAAGGAACACTCTAAACACCATAACATGTAAAGTCCATTGTAGTGGTTATGATGCAAGGAGTCACAGTAAGTTGTCAAACCATTTTAACACTAATTTGACTATGGTCCTACCAGGCATCCATCGTCATAGCACCTGTATCTGTTTTTCTACAGGATGATAATGCTGGAAAATGCTCATTGGTTGAGAAAATCTGAGCACTCAATCAATGAACACTGTCCTAGACTGGAACTGCTTTATTCTACACCTTACTAAAATGATTAAATAACAGTGTGGGACAGTGCCAGGGCACCCCAGCACAATAATCACTACTAGCTATAGTGCTTGTAGTGGTCCTTTAATTAACCATGTGTTAATAGCGCTACCTTTTGACAAGAGATCTGTAGAGATTTCAGAAAGTGGAAACTTTGATTTTGGGCCAGGATTCCCTTGCTCAATCCCACATGGGAAAATAAAATCCAACAATAGTCATAAATCTCAAATCTGAATATTAGCCACACAAGAAAGCAGGGCAAAGACACAATCAATATTCAAAAAGTAACGAAAAGGAAAATAAATATTCTGCTTAGAAAGCCACATACATAACATTTTAAAATCTATTAAAGATAAGGTACACAAGCAAATGCTGGATCTCATTCCTTACTTACCACAGCTTCCATATCCGTTGTGTTTGATGGCGCAAATATAGTCTGTACCATAAACTTATGTTTACTCTTTTCACTTGGGTCATATTCAAACGGCTGTAACATTACTAAAGATGACAAAAAACACCAATTCAAAACTACAGCACAAAACCAAAAATACTTTGAAAATTTGCCAAAAATACTAATAACTCACATTTTTAGTTTGGAATCATGAATTAAATAAGAGGCATTTTACTTTTTTTGGTTTCTTAAATTAAAACACTATAATAAAGGATTAGTTGTAATGTAAATAGCAATTCTATTGGCTTCCATGGTTATTGCCATAATGTAAGCAGTGTCTTGTTTGCTGAAGCTAACTCTGTTTTAGTGTAAAGGGCAACTTACTTCCCAGGATTTGTATTGGGTTTACTTGCATGGAGATTTAAAAAAAAAATAAAAGAAAGAAAGCTATACCGCAATCGTGTAACATGGTACTTCCATCTTGGCTCACTGTCAATCATGATTAACCCCTTAAGGACACGACATGTGTGACATGTCATGATTCCCTTTTATTCTAGAAGTTTGGTCCTTAAGGGGTTAAAATGGATTTTATAATGTAAGGAATACTAAGTTGTATTCCTTACACTATTTTCCCTCTGCACCCCCCAAGCAAACCAACTATGGAAGGGTTTCTATTTCTGTACACCATTCCAGCAATGATCTCCCTCGGCGCTGCCTTGGCCCGCCGCCTCCTCCACATGGTGTGGCAAGCATATTCGTTCCTTCCTATACGAAAGCATTGAAGCAATGCTTTCCTATAGAGATTTAATGGGTCGCTGGATGTCCTCATGCAGAGCGCGAGGACGACCGTCAGTTAGGCGACCAAGAGTTGCCTAGCAAGCAGGAAGTGCCTCTAGTGACTGTCTGAAAGCCTCTACAGGCAGTCTTAGTCCTGCAATGTAATCATTGCAATTTCTATAAAACAGCAATAATTTAAACTGCAGGATTAAAGGAGAGGGGTAAATTGAACCCAGACCAAGTCAATGAGATGAAGTAGTCTGGATGCCTACAGTGTCCCTTTAAAGGACCACTATAGTGCCAGGAAAACACTCGTTTTCCTGGCACTAGTGTGCCCTGAGGGTGCCCCCACCCTCAGGGACCCCCTCCCGCCAGGCTCTGGGGAGAGGAAGGTGTTAAACTTACCTCTTTCTCCAGCGTCGGGCAGGGAGTTCTCCTCCCTCTTTTCCTCCTCTTCGGCTGAATGCGCATGCGCGGCAGGAGCCGCGCGCGCATTCAGCCAGTCCATAGGAAAGCATTCACAATGCTTTCCTATGGACGCTGGCGTCTTCTCACTGTGATTTTCACAGTGAGAAGAACGCAAGCGCCTCTAGCGGCTGTCAAGAGACAGCCACTGGAGGCTGGATTAACCCATTTATAAACATAGCAGTTTCTCTGAAACTGCTATGTTTATAGAAAAAAGGGTTAACCCTAGCTGGACCTGGCACCCAGACCACTTCATTAAGCTGAAGTGGTCTGGGTGCCTATAGTGGTCCTTTAAACCTGGTGGTTAGTAACAGGGATGTGGCAGACTCACCACTGGACCACTAGGGATCTAGATAAAGAAAGTGTGAAATGGGAAAGCTGAAGTAGCGAAAAAATACCTGTCAGTAGGGAGTAAATATACCAATTACTGTAGGAAGCATTTAGTTTAGGTAATTAAGTCTCCCCTGCCAATGATTAAGAATATTTATTTTTCTACCTAATAAATGCATTGTATAAACGCTTCTCTTTGAGGGTTTCAGCTTCCCTATCACTGTAACTAAATAGCACCTACTGCTTAATTGGGATTCTGCTTTGAAGAGTGGGTCCCACCATGTATTGAACATTTATATACCTAAAAAGCAACATTTTACACTGCCAGAACACACGTCACACTACATACAGCCAGCATACACCACACACAAATGACATGCAGCCTTCACAGTGCACACACACTCATTACACCTCGTCACCACACACACTATGCGGAATGATAGAGGGCAAGGCACCAAACTTCAGATTCTTGCAAATTAAATCCAGAGAGCAAAACAGAGTAAAAAATGACCTGTTGCTACTATAGCTACGCTGGGTAATTATTCCACTTTTTTCATCTGGATTTAACCCCTTACAGACGGCAGGTGTTCTATGCTGTCCTTAAGGAACCGGCTCTAAACACCAGAGGGCGGCATTGAACGCACAAACCGTCCTATTTACCCGGTCGCCGGTGATCCCACTCAGACGATCGCGGTATTGGGACTTACCTGGGAGTCCACCACCGTCCTCTTCAGCCCCCCTGGACCATGTGATCATGAGGTCCTTGCGAGGACCTCACGATCACATGGACGGCATAGCCATGTCAGTGCCAGCAGGGGGAGTGCCTGTAATGCCAGGTACTCCCCCTGCTGTCTGAAAAAAAAAAAAAAAGTGTTTAAAACAGTGTAAAATTAAATATATACTTAGATCACTTATATTAAATATATATATATATATATATATATATATATATATATATATGATCTAAGTATATATTTAATTTTAAATATATATGATCTAAGATATATATATACACATACACACACACACTGTGTACGTGTATTTTAATATGGATATATATATATAATTATAACTATATTAATATCAAAATACATGTACAATGATAGATTAAATATACAATTTTCATTATAATATAAAATAAATCTGTAAATACGTTAAAAAGAATTTAAAAAATAAAATATATATGTCTAAATTCGTTCTAACTGTATTTTAAAATTTATATATAGATATCAAAATACACGTAGAACGAAATATATATCTATATACATAAGTATATATCTATATATATATACACACAAATAAAAAAAAAAAAATATATATATATATATATATATATATATATATATATATATATATATATATATATATATATATATATATATATATATATACACACACACACACACACACACACACAATGCTACGTATATATTTATAATTTTACATAATTAGGTAATTTTATGAATTACAATTAGCAGGACCAGCCTGACAACCCAGGCCAAAGGTCCAGGGAATTTAATTTGCTAGCACTATATTTAACCCTGTAACTTTCCAAGACACCATAAAACCTGTATATTGGGGGTACTGTTTTACTCGTAAGACTTCGCTGAACACAAATATTAGTGTTTCAAAACAATAACATGTATTACGACGACGATATTTTCAGTGAAAGTGAAATTTTTTGCATTTTTCACACCCAAATGGCACTTACACGGACAATATAATTGTTG